GTTGGAAGATCCTCAACTGCTATTTGAATGGGGCAACACTATAAATGGAGTAGAAGATGGCACACTCTAGCGTGGATATCTCAACTAGTTGAATTAGTCCAAGCATATGGAACTAAGGAGTTGCCAAGCTGGAATGCTAGCGAGCAAGGTGTTGAGGGCCTTTTCAAAGTCGTGGAGCTCCTCTGCCGAACTCATACTTAATTTATCATTATCAATTGCCCATTAATTCGAACTAGTGAGTTGCACGTGCCATGAATTTAATGTATTTGCCTATTAGCACTTGGGAAAATGGGGACGATGGTCGTGCACATGCAACCGTCAGAGAGCCGTTGTGGGGCCAATGTATAAAATCTGCTTTCCCTCTACTACCCAACACATCTTTGAGAGCTCTAAGATACGCCCTTCCTTCTTTATCTTTAGCTCTTTTCGTCTTTAAGTTTAATTATAACTCCTCATCCTGGAGCATATAGGTTGGAAATCATACCTTAGTTTCATTTTTATCACTTTTGTTTTCTTCATTGGAAAATTTTCATTCTTGATCATGTTGAATACTTTGTGGATAGGTCTATTCAAGCTCGATTTGAATCTATGCTTGATTACTTTCTTCCTTTAATTTTTCATATCCCCAATCATCCCCCTCCATTAAATTTATACATCAACCACCGTAAATTTTCTAATATGGCAATCGATTCTGAGCACTCCTTCTGTGTCTTAGGCTTATGCTGCGAATGAGGACTCTAACTCTATTTTGGATATTGGCTCTTCATCTCTCAAGGTAATTGGAGCAAAGAACTATCATAGTTGTCTCGATGAGGATGCTTTCAAGAAATTAGGACCTTATACCAGATCCTTAACTATGTGCGCCTTAGGGTTCCGTCCCCTAACGAAATCGCCAATTCTTTTATGCCTAATAAAGCCTGCTTCAATGAGTCCATATGTCAGGCTTTGCTTCACATATATAACCATGAGAAAAGATCCACATCGGGTTCCCCCTCTTGGAACAACAATTAGTAACAAAGCATGGTTACCCTAAGATCATAGATACTGGTAGGCTTTTCTTATTTTTGCTTATATACCTAGCTTTCCAAGATATCTATTATTGTTATTAGTTTGTATCAAATGGATTCTCAAAAAGAATGAGGCTTAATTGCACTGGCACCTCTCGTTGATGGTTCTAACTTTTCTTATTGGAAAGCTCGTGTAAGGTTATTTCTAAATCAATTGATGAGAGAGTATGATTGATTGTGCAAAAGGGTTACAGCCCTCCTCTTACCACCACACAAGTTATAGGTGGTGAAGCGGTGGTTGAAATAAAATTCCCAACGACTTGGTCAAAGGCCAAGATTAAATCGGTGAGGTGGGACTCTAAAGGCTTGAATGCGATATTCAATGCCTTGACACCCAATGAGTTCCGAAGAATCACTAATAGAAAGACTTCAAAGAAGGCATGGGATATTCTTATGGTTTCACACGAAGGAACTACAATGGTCAAGATGTCCCATCTCTAAATGTACGCCTTATAATTCGAGATGTTGAAAATGCAAAAGAAATAAATATTTGGCAATTTTTATGCCAAGCTATGTGATATAATTAACTCTTCATTTGCATTAGGTACCAAGATCGAAGATACCTCTATTAAGTGAAAAAAAATGAGATCTCTATCAGAGAGATTTCATGCTAAGGTGACCTCATTAGAAACTAGTATCAACATGGCTACGGTATCGGTTGAAGACCTAGTTGGGTTGATTTTGACTTTTGAGATGAACCTTATTCCACCCAAGAAAGTGAAGGGTGTTGAATTAAATTCTATAATTGAAGAAAGGGGTAAATCTGAGTTATCCTATTTGGGAGAAGAGGACATAATCTATCTTGCTTGAAAATTTGACAAGTATTTTCAGACTAGTGGTTTCAAGTCCTCAAGGTCGAAAGGAAACTCAAGTAGACCTAAGTTTCCTAGATAGGGAAAATAAGGTGGGGGTAGACCTTCTCGACATGAGGTTGAGAAAAAGGAGCAAGGAATGTCCTAATACAAACAAGAAGGACATGCCCAAGGATAAGAAAAGAGCCTGGAGGGCTAAGGTGAGTGAAAGTGAAAGTGAGTCCACAGCAAGTGTTGACTTCTCTTCTTCAAGTAATGAAGAAAATTTCATTGCCTTTGTAGGTTCATATTCCCCCCCCCCCCCAACACGAGAAACTTCCAAGGATGAAGAAAATTAGGTTGAGTCGAATCCTACTACAAATGTAAATGACTTAATAGCGAAAGTCTCTACTAGTGAGGATGAGATATAGAGTGTTAAGGACATCTAAGATGCTTATTGTAACACCCCAAAATTCACCCTGTAAGGCATTACTATCTACAAACCATTCAACCATGAGAGCGACTAAAAAGAATCATTAAGTAATAAATTATTCATCCATTTGACAAGGAACAAATACTAAAACCAATAAAACATTGAAACTTCTCCAACTTACAATTCAAAAACCAAAATCTCTAGCAGTAGAATAATAAAAACTAGCTAAAATATTGTTTCATAAAATCTCTCAAACTCTAAATCAAAAGTAGATCAACTCTATTCCTATAAGGTAGGATCCACATCTTGAACTTCCAACGGCTCGTANCCTCCCATGAGAAACTTCCAATGATGAAGGAAAGGAAGTTGAGTCAAGTCCCACTATGGATGTTGATAACTTAGAAGTAGAAATCTCTACTAGTTAGGATGAGACCTAGAATGTTGATGACCTCCAAGATGCTTATAATAAGTTATATAAGGAGTGTCTAAAAAATAAGAGAAATTTCTTTCATTGAGAACGAGGCTCAAAACGAGTGAAGATGAAAAGAAGACACTTCATGTGGATTTAGTTAAGTTTAAGGCTCATATTGCAGTGCTTGAGGAGGAGAAAAAGTCCCTCCATGACAAGGAGAGTTTCACTGAACTAGAGCATAAAGGGCCTTTAGAGTCTAAGAAAGTTCTTGAGTTTAAACTCATCAAACTTGACAGGGAGCTTCACGAATCACAAGAGCTCTCTAAAATAAATTTCCAAAGCACAAAAAAACTTGGTAAAATGTTGATTATTGGAAAGAGTGTGAGTGACAAAAGAGGCCTTGGTCATACGAATGAGAATACCATCCCCACTAGTAAACACAAGTCCTAATCCTAATCCAACACCCCCCACAAGTAAACACAAGTCCTCCTAAAGGTAAAAATGGTAAGGGTATGCATTCAAAGAAGCCGGTTAACAAGTCCTCTTGTGTGTTTTACATGTGGAGAGCATAGTCACTATAGTGCACAATGCATTCATAATAGGAAAGTATTCAAGAACTTTTAGGACTTGTTTGCACTATTTTCTAGAATCTATAAGGTCTACAAGTTAGATAAGCTATAACACCTATTAGACCAACGAAAAAAATTAGTTTTATATTATGAATCCATAAAAAAAATAAATAAATCAGATAGAGTAATTTTTGGACCAAAGATAATATGGACTCTATATTATTTTTAAATCACAGTTACAAAATTACAATATGGTCTTTATTAAATTGTGTTGGGGTAAAATTGCAAAATATTTTTTTATTAGTATACTTTTATGAATTAAATATTGGTAATCATTGAATTTATAGGTTTCTTTAAGAGTTGAATGAGTTTGGGGGGGGGGGGGGGGG